TGTTGAGTCTTCTGGAGTAATTTAGCCTGAAACTACTCCGGACTATTCAGACATTATTCCTGCAGTAAAGCGCATGCATTTAGCCAATAAATTATTGTTTCCAAGATGCCACTGTGATATTCTGACCAGAGATGTGCTAAACATATTGGTGGGGTAGATTTTTCCTTCTTCTTGAGAACACTTAGCCTGTGCAAACGTTTATACTTTTAAAATACTGTTCCCTGGCTCCAACTTCTTCCTGCTTCCAGGATCAATCACAAATGTGATCCCACCCAATCTAGGATGACATAAGCCCTCTTCACACATTAATCACATGGAGTTCCAGGCATAGAAAGGAACTCAACACTGAAATCTCCAAACCAGTTATCTTGACACGATGGTCGTGTGCAGACCTTTTTCGCCTGATCATTTTTGCGCACAAGACATTCCAGTACTAGATTGAACTATGACATTTGGGGTTTTATTTAATGAGCAATGTTTAAAAAATATGTACCTATTTGTTGCAGAAAATAAAACGTCTTGAGCTTCACCTAGCAGGGAATGAATGCATTCTGAAAAGATGAGTTCCTGCTTTACCAGATTCAGCTTACTTATTAATAGAAAGGGCTCTGAAGGTAGCAATTTATGAGTGCCTAGGCACAGCTTTGTGTGTAGAAAAGCAGCCTGGTGGGTTAATACATCCACCTATAAATAAAAGCAGTGACAGCTCTCCTGTCAGTACACACTGATGGACGGTTCCTTTTTCTGCCATTATAACCTTGTGAATGTGGGAAAATTAATTTAAGTGGTAGTTAATTTCTAATGAATTCCATTCAACCGGTTAATATGGTCCCTTGATGTTATGGTAACCTTCATGGATCATTGCATTATGTAAATATATTCTACATATATATATATATGAATGTTGAGTTTTGTCAAACCAGGCACTTATACATACACATACAGACACACGCATACATATATACACACAGAACTAGGAAAAATTAACTGTCACTGAAAACTGGGTTATTTAATATATTTAATAGCTAATTAAACTTCCTTAAAATGGCTCTATGAGGCAAAGTCATTCGTCATTAATTCTTGCCACCACTATTCATCTTTCTGCAAAGTGTGTCACCATTACTTTTACTTGGGGCCCAATTATAAACTTGCACTCAAAGAACATGTGCAACAGACTCCCTAACAACGTGATTTTACACGTGTTTGTTCAGAGTTACACCAGAGGAAGTGTGCATAGCACTGCAGCCCTAATTTCAACAACTGTGGAACAATAATATGACTCAGCATTTATGAAAGTATTTTGTCTCTTTCCAAAGGGAACACGGCAGACAAGGCATTTGCACAGCTTGTTTCCTTTTTATGAGTTTTGGTCTTTTCCCCCTCCAATGCAATTCTGGGCTGCATCAATAGGAGTATAGCATCTAGATCAAGGGAAGTAATAGTGCCACTGTATTCTGCTCTGGTCAGACCTCACCTGGAGTACTGTGTCCAGTTCTGGGCACCACAGTTCAAGAAGGCCACTGACAAACTGGAACGTGTCCAGAGGAGGGTAACCAAAATGGTCAAAGGCCTGGAAACGATGCCTTATGAGGAACGGCTAAGGGAGCTGGGCATGTTTAGCCTGGAGGAGGAGGTTAAGGGGTGATATGATAGCCATGTTCAAATATATAAAAGGATGTCACATAGAGGAGGGAGAAAGGTTGTTTTCTGCTGCTCCAGAGAAGCGGACACGGAGCAATGGATCCAAACTACAAGAAAGAAGATTCCACCTAAACATTAGGAAGAACTTCCTGACAGTAAGAGCTGTTTGACAGTGGAATTTGCTGCCAAGGAGTGTGGTGGAGTCTCCTTCTTTGGAGTTCTTTAAGCAGAGGCTTGACAACCATATGTCAGGAGTGCTCTGATGGTGTTTCCTGCTTGGCAGGGGGTTGGACTCGATGGCCCTTGTGGTCTCTTCCAACTCTATGATTCTATGATTCAATTCTCCCTCTCCACTTCCTCCTCCTCCCCCCCCACTTTCTACTGGGGATAAATTTATAAAAATAAAATAGAAAAGGAATATGCAGTTATAGGGATACAATAAACAGCTTTGAACTGAGTCAGACCGTTGGTAATACTTCTCCAAGGTCTTGGGCAAAGATATCAGGGACTGGCATTGAATTATTGAATTATTTTTCAAATTGTTGTCTTCTTAATCGCTATCACCATATTTTGAGCATTTAAAATGCTTTGCACACACAAGCTCCCCACAACATGGCTGGATGGGGCTCATCCAAAACTTCTGGAGGGCAACAGTTTGGTGAAACTGCTCTAAATTATGCTGAACTGTTTGGTGCACTAGTACATCTTGTTAGGATATTTCCGTTCCACCTTAAAAGGGAGCAGGCTGTGAGTCACAGAGTCTGCGTATTTCCTGTTCACAGGATGTTTATGTTTTCTATTGCTTTCGTTTCTCTCTCTGTGTCTGGAGACACTGACGCAGGCAGTCATGTCTTTCTTTGTTCTGATCAACGCTGAATAAAACTTGTAAATAATGCTCTCCTGAGTGCGACTTTTGCTGTGCATTATCTGCTGATAGAGTGTGCATGAGCTCTGGATTGTGGCAAGATATTTTCTAGAAACTCATGTCGCTAATTGCTGATACTGCGTGCCTACGGGAGATCGATGGATCGTCCGGCAGACGGCTTGGGGGCCATGATGGACTTTATCTCCCTGGCAGTATCCCAACACATCTAACCTACTGACATATCAGCTTTATACCAGTTTAAATGCGGCAAGCTTTTTCTTTAAAAATCTGTTGCATTAGTGGCACAGTGTAGCTTAGTTTCGGCGTTATAGTTTTTTCCATGAAGCATCAATGTATTATGCTAAAACACCTCGAGTCTGCCATGAATAACTGCAGGTTATGCAGCAGAAGCCCATTTGGCAAGAAACCCCCCAAGTTTTACAAATGAACAGAGGATGAATCATTACTGAGCTATAGGTAGAGCTGCAGCTCATCTGTATTTGAAGATGGGAGATTTGAAGACTAATTTGGATACCCTATTCAAGTGTACGTGAGATGCATTTTTAAAAAATGCATCTTACTTTGCCTGCTGTCCTCCACCCCACTTCTTTATAAAACAATACTTTGAGAAAAATTGGTTTGGATCTTGCCACAGATGGGGACAACTAGTCACCTGCAAAAGCCTGTGGCCCTGGATGTGGGTCTCCATTTGTGTGTGTATGTAGAATATTAATCCATTTATATGCTATCTTTCCTCCACTGGGCATATATGAGAGCGCCAGTCATTCTTCCCTGCTAGTACTGATCAGATGTAGACTTGGGTAGCTTTAGTAAGGTTTTGCATCATTTGTCTTCTGACTACAACCTGAGCCCAGCCACCGGATGCACATCCATGCTGGAGCAATTGTATTTTCCATCACTGAGCAACAAGACTACTTCTACGTGCATCTAAAAAGCATTGTACAAAAGGCATGCATTCCCTCCCTAGAAATTATCTTTCTAGCCCTGCTTGATTTTAACATGCTAAACAAAGGGAAGGAACTAAACACTTTGCAATGCATAGCAATGGCTGGGGCCAGGTGTCTAGAAAGACGTCATCTGTCAGTTAGCTAACCTCAGTATATCCCCCGCTGATCCAGTCAGACAGAGCTCCCCAAGCAGTAAGGTTCAGACAGATTTTCCCCTCACCTGTCATTATTAAAAAGACATTGTCCTTACTTCAGCAACTAGAGCGGTGTTTCTTATGCACTCTGCTGCAGTCTAAGCCTTATACTCATTAATATACATAAGCTGCAAGATTCTTTCAGTTGACCTAGTTACATATCCACCTGTTGAAGGGCAGAAAGTTGGAAGGGGGGGAAAGCTTTCTTTCTTTCTTTCCTTCCTTTCTTAACCACCTATTTTATCTGAGTTTCTGCATAATTATACTACACAGGCCAAGAAACACTATTTGTTTCAAGTTTGCAATACATAACATTACAGTGGTACCTTGGTTTAAGAACTTATTCTGGAGGTCCGTTCTTAACCTGAAACTGTTCTTAACCTGAGGTACCACTTTAGCTAATGGGGCCTCCCGCTGCCGTGCGATTTCTGTTCTCATCCTGAGGTAAAGTTCTTAACCTGAGGTACTGTTTCTGGGTTAGCAAAGTCTGTAACCTGAAGCGTCTGTAACCTTAAGTGTCTGTAACCCAAGGTACCACTGTATAATGATTTACATTACAGTTTTTAAAGCACTAGCTGCAAAACTGAAAGCTGAAATAGTTTTGGACAGTTTCTGTTCCAGACTTTGTCTCAAGCTGTTTTTTACACACACAAAACCCCAGATAATTATTCTCTCCTCTCCCCCACCTGCTGGTCATAGTCCCAGATTTCAGAGACTCCCAGTGATATCAGGAGTACATTGAGCTCAGAATGCCTCTTCCAATACCAGCATGCCTATGAATCATTGAACCATACCTTTCCATTTACTTGGTGGTCGGAATATTGCATTTTAGATACTGAGGAGGGGCCTCTGCTCCTCTCCTGGCACTAATTATCCTTGGTGTGTGGTTTTCCAGGGCACTTATGGCTGTGAGGCACCCAGAAAACACCCTTCTCCCAGAGCAACTTGGGCTTGGAATGCTAACCACGTTCACAATGGTGTCCCCGGCTGCAAGAAATCAAGGGATGTGTAGTCTCTATGGTGCCTTATATCCACTGTAAATACTCTGGTACCTGGAAAACTTGTGTTTCCCACTATCGCTTGTTGAATTACAAGCGCCATTATCCCTGACCATTGACCATGCTGGCTGATGGGAAAATAGAAACCTAGAGTGCCACAGGCTAGGTGCCCCCCGCTTTAGAAGTGACCACCTTTACTACACAAAGAAACAAATACTTCCAACAGGGATTACAAGTTTAAGCATCACAGAAGTTATTTGTCCAATCTCAACATGTATTTAGAGGGCTTTCAATAGGTCATTACAAAAAAATAATAATCTTATGATATATTGTACCTTGCTAGATATTTTTCTGTGTATCAGCCTCATTGCATTTATACAGCAACGTTAACTTTCACCCATATGAAGCAGAATAGCCAGGTTAAAGTAGTCAAGAGATACAAGAACTAGCTTGACTTTATATAAATCAGTTAGATCAAGCTTGTAGATTGCCACAATCTTGGTTGCTTATGACAAGAACGGACTCCAGACACTAAAGTCTTTGACACAGTTCCAGTGAACTGTTCCCTTTTTAGACCATTAGGTGTCAAAAACAACTGAGGTTATAATCCTGTACACACTTCCCCAAGCCCGATTAAACATAATGGAAAGTAATTCTAAGTAGATATAATGGAGATTAATTCTGAGTAGACATGCACCCAAGATATGGGGGAAAGGCAAATGAAACAGACTGGTTGCTCTGACTCTTGGGCATTTGTGACATCTGCCAGTATGATGGCTGGTTTACTTGCTTTCACCGGCTGAGCCCATGGCCACAATTTAAGGTGCATGTCCAGAATGACTGTGTGGTCAAGTGTTATCCCTGCTCTAACCACAGATACATTATTTTTAAAAGAGAAGCAGAAAGCAGAACGTAAGATTATAATCCTGCCATGGCTGATTGTGATGGGGTAGATTAAAAAAAACACCAAGTGAAAACTCTCCTAGCTTTGTCTGATTTGTGACCTTTGTTAGGATGTACTGAATTCTTGAAATAAGCATCACCGTGCTCAATAAGACTTAACTTCCGTATAGGATGGTGACTACTTTATAGTTTGTTGAACTAAGAAATCTTTGACACAGTTTCATTATAATTATACTATAATTTTAAAACAATTTTTGAAGTAAGCAACACTTTTAAGTGATTTTATTCGTCAAAGCTGGTTGGCTTAAAACCGCTATGGCTTACAATTGGACCAGGTTTCCTATAAAAGACAATGTTTTTTGTATGCAGGATAATCAGAATTGTCCAGTGAAGACTTGTGCTCACAAATTTCTTCCATCCGCTAGTAGTCTTACAACTTTCTCTGCTTGTGCCTCGGATGTGTTTTACAGTACACATACAAATGGCCACGCCTGCGGACAATGAAACAGTCCTTGCAACGCCTTCTGAGGACTGCCTTGCACTTTATGCCAGCGACTGGCTGCAAGCTGAGGGGCGGGCAACTGGTGAGAAAGGGCAGCAGATCCACATGACACGGTCTGGCGGCAGGTAAGGTCTGCAATGGGCTGGCAGTCTTTGAGCGTCCCACCAGCCAGGAGGAGAATAAGCGGGAGGCTGTGCCACAGCTCAGGAACCTGGCAGAAGTCACCGAAGCAGCCATCACATTCCGCAAGAGCAAGGAGGCCATTGTCCCCAAGCTTAGGAAAAGAAGGGAGGAATTAAAACATCAACAACACATCCATCAACTAAAGGATGCAATCCAACACACAAAGTCCTTTGCACTCTTGCCTGGAAGTAAAGTCTCAATGTGGTTTACTTTCGGAGAAAGGACCTTAAGGTCCATATATAGCAACACCCTAGAGGTCCCGGGCCCTAAGGAAATTAGATTAGCCTCAACCAGAGCCAGGGCCTTCTCAACACTGGCTCCGGCCTGGTGGAACGCTCTGCCTCATGAGACCAGGGCCCTGCGGGATCTGATTTCTTTCCACAGGGCCTGTAAGACAGAGTTGTTCCACCTGGCCTTTGGCTTAGAATCAGTTTGATTCCCTCCCCCTCTTTCTTTTTCCTTTCTCCTCCTGTGAAGAGGCTGCATCCTAATGTTTTAATGTTGCATTTTAATCTTTTTTAAACTGTATTTTAATCAACTTGTTTTTATTATTGGCTGTTAGCCGCCCTGAGCCCGGTTTTGGCTGGGGAGGGCGGGGTATAAATAAAAAAATATTATTATTATTAAACGTAAATAGGATTACATATCGTAGAATAGTAGAGTTGGAAGGGACCCCCCAGGGGTGGTCTTGTCCAACTCCCTGCAATGCAGGAATCCTGCCCGCAGCCGTGCCTGGGCGGGCTCGAACCACCAACCTTGACCCCACTGCAGGTAATATTGCAGCAACGCTGTGCATCCCCAAAGTGGGAGGAAATGAAGCCAAAGGTTCTTCCTCCCCTACACACAACGCACAGGGTAGAGCTGCAAACCTCACTCGTCGCTTTGCATCTACCTTGGAAAAAGGGCGACCCAGCAACCACTTGGGAGTCCAAACTGGCTGGACTTCACTGCGCGATAACGAAAGGCGAGAGTACACAAGACCCTTCCCGCGCATGCGCAGCCTCCTGCGCCCTCCTCCCCCTGCGAACCTGCCGCGCACGCGCAGAGCTTCCTTTCTCCTTCAGCGCCTTGGAAGCCCACAGCGCATGCGCGAACCGGAGCCTCCGCTTCCAGTCAGGCCGGGTAAGAAAAATATTACAGCTTCATTCTCCGTAAAAGCTAATCCAAGAACCCTTTACCCGAGGGGCGGAGACGGTCCGCACTACGTACCGGACGAAGAGCGACGCCGCCGGCCTCTAGCCTTCCGGGAAGAGGACGAAAATGACGAAGGCGCACGTGACTCCTTCTCTCCCCGCCCCTTTTTTTTACGTCCTTACGTTTCCCTCCGCCTCGCGCAGGGGTGTTTACGTCAGACGCTCGCGAGCCTCCAGGGGGCGTGGCTTTGGTTTCGCCGCGCGTGCGCAGTGCGCGCTCTGTGCGTGAGGCGGAGGAGGAGGAGGGGCGTCGCCGACATGGCGGGTCTGTCTGTGTCCTTGGGAGGAGCGTCCCGGGCGGGCTTGGCTTTGGCGAGGGGCGTCGCGGCTCTCCCCTCCCTGCGACCCGCCTTTGGGAGAAGCTACGGCGCGGGGACGTCCCCGACCGGCGAGAAAGTGACGCACACGGGACAGGTGAGTGTTCAGATAGAGTGCCTCTGAGCCTGGAGGCTCCACTCGGCTCCCTTGCAGTGGGTGCTCTGCTGGTGCAGCAACAGCGTTTATAAGCCCCCAGTCCCTGCCTTCTCATTCCAAAGAGGCTCAGAATAAACTTAATTATTTAATAATAATAATAACAATAATTTATTATTTATACCCCGCCCATCTGACTGGGCTTCCCCAGCCACTCTGGGCGGCTTCCAACAAAATATTAAAATTCATTAATCCATCAAACATTAAAAGCTTCCCTAAACAGGGCTGCCTTCAGATGTCTTCTAAAATGTCTGGTACAGTGGTGCCCCGCAAGACGAATGCCTCGCAAGACGGAAAACTCGCTAGACGAAAGAGTTTTCCGTTTTGGAGGTGCCTCGCAAAACGAATCTGCTATGGGCTTGCTTCGCAAGACGAAAATGTCTTGCGAGTTCCTGGTTTTTTTTTTCCCTTTTCCCCCTCTTTTTCTAAGTCGCTAAGCCGCTTATCTGCTTATCCGATAAGCTGATAAGCTGCTAAAAGCCGCTAAAAGCCGCTAAAGCCGCTAATAGCGCTAATAGCGCTAATCCGCTAATCCCATCAATGGGCTTGCTTCGCAAGACGAAAAAACCGCTAGACGAAGAGACTCCCAGAACGGATTCTTTTCGTCTTGCGAGGCACCACTGTAGTTGTTTTTCTCTTTGACATCTGGTGGGAGGGCGTTCCACAGGGTGGGTGGTTAAATATATTAAAGTTTTGATTTATTTATGTGTTTCTATAATCTTTAAAAATTCAAACAACTAATCATTCCGCAATTTGGAGATTTACTATTTTCATTGCTCTCAAAGATGTCATGAACGTAACTATTTTTTAAAAGGGCGAAATGTGTCCCTAATATTAACTTTAAAATAAGCTTTTATTTTTTTGAAGTATTCATTGGTTTTGCGTATAATAATAATAATAATTTATTTATACCCCGCCCATCTGGTATAAATGGTATACTGCCCTTCACCCGAAGGCCTCAGGGCGGTTCACTGCATCAAAACAAGAAGAAGTCCTGATTTTGACCTATAAAAATCCTTAAGTGGCTCAGGAAATGCAATACTTCAAGGGCTGCCTCTCCCCAAACAAAAAGAGCCTTTTCTGTAGTGGCTCCCTGCATCCGGGATGCTCTCCCCAGAGAGGCTCACCTGGCACCTTCATTGCAGGCGAAAGCCTTCCTTTTCAACCAGAGCTTGAACAATCTGGCATTTTAACCGTGTTTGTGGGCAGGGGTCATTGGGGTTTTGTTTCATTTTGATTTTTTGATAGGTGTTTTGTGTTTCCATTTTGTATTTTTTATTCTGTAAACTACCTTGAGACCTTCGGACATTGAGCAGTTTGTAAATTTAATTAATAATAACAAATAAAATAAAAGATACAGAAGCCAAAAAAAGGCGTATCTCTCTCTCTCAGGTTGTTGGTTCCTGCAGGAGCTTGTGGCATGAATTCCCCCTGCGGCCTAGGCTTTCCTCTCTTGTTTTTGTTCTAATTGCTGCTGTATCTATTTTATAAAATGTATTTTGTATATAACTATCTTGATCATGCCCTTAAGTGTTAAAACATTTGAAAGCCTCATTTTGTGCAGTGGTAAAATTAACACAGCTCCTTGCATCCACTTTGCAGAGCTCTGGATTTAAGAGTTTTTCTTATGGAGCGGCATTATTTCCTTTTCTTTGCAGATGCTTGAACATTTCCAGTGGGAAGTCAGAGGTGCTTAACTTTGATTAGATTAACTTAGTTGGTCTCTAAGGTGCTACTGGAAGGATTTTTAATTTTTTTTTATTCTATTTTGTTTAGATCGCATCAGTTGTACTTTAACCTTTTTAATTTAGGTGTTCAAGGACTTATATGCCACTCCAGTTTGCAATATTCTCTAGGTGGCTAACAAGTAAAGGTAAAACAGCTGTAGAAAAATTGGCGTTTAAAAATAAATACATTTTAATGTTATCATATAAGCCAGCTAGATGATTTGGCTGGGTAAATGAAAAGACAAGACATGAGATTTAGTGCCAGGCAATTCTTCCTTAAGAGGGCATTCTAATATGGGATGCAGCAGCTAAGAAAGCCCTTTCAACAGTCACCACCTGCCTGGCTTCAGAAGGTTGGAGGTGTCAAAGGAAGGCGATTGCACATTTACTAGCAAGGAAGCCCTACTGAACTCATGTTGCAATCCTGTGCTCTGTTACCTAGATGTAAGCCCTGTTGAACTGAATGGCAATTACTTCTGAGTGTTTGGCTATCAGCAAATGGGTTTAGGAGCCTTCCCCGGTGTTTTGAAATTATCAGCCTCTTGCAACCAAGTGAAAATGCCTGGGCACCAGGATCGGTCCTGACCATAGCTGTCAACCTTTCCCTTTTCTTGTGAGGAATCCTATTCGGAATAAGGGAATTTCCCTTAAAAAAAGGGAAACGTTGACAGCTATGGTCCTGACATCTCCACCAGCTGGAAGTGCATGCCTGCGGATCATTGGATCTTAACTGTTTCCACACACATACTACCACATCCTAGAGAATTCTATCAGTTACATTTTATCTGCACAATCAGAATGAATTTCAGGAACCAAAATCCTTTTTCTGTGCAGCCTGAGCAGGAGCAGTGAACAGCGTTATAGGTAGTTGTTGTAGCTTGTTTTCACTTACCCCATCGCCCTGCTCACAGTTGTGAATAATATTCCTACGTTATAAATGGTCCATGTCACCATTAAGAAAAACAGATCAGAATAGGCCAATATATATATATATATATAGACTGTCCCTGGTTAAAGTGACTTTTCTTTTAAGTTCCCAAAGTTCTTAACCTAGTTCAGGGTAGTCATCTGAACTAGTCATATGTTTAACTCGTAATCAGTCAGTCAGTTCATCATTTGACAAATTAGACTTTAGAGCCATCTTGCCCCAAAATGGCAACTAGATATTCAACTTTGGTTTAAGGAGCCATTTGGCACCTAGCTTATGTATCTTAGTTTCTAGCACTGGCTTCCTGGACATGAAACCATGGGGTTTTTTTGTATTCTAAAGCGCCGGCCCCCCCATTTCTCCACAAAGCTATTTGTATTTTCATAATTATAATTTTGTAAGAAATATGTTAATTTCACATAACAGCAATGCTCCGTGTTACCAATCAGAAAGTAAAGAAGCATCCGTCTTTTACCAATAACTTGACATGCCCACCTTTGCTGTCATTAGGGGCCCCAATTTTGGGATTAACACTAGATCCTTCAAAAAGCATTAAAAAATTACTTTAGAATCATTGGATAAGCAGTACCCTGTATTTTCTTCATTTGTGCCGACAATCAGCTTCCCAAACCCTCTAATTCGCAGGCAAGCCAAAAGGATATGATAAACGTCCGTGGGCGAGTTGGAAAAATGCTGTAGGCAATGCAGAGAAATGCCAACAAAAAGTCTTGTTTTGAGCTGTAAATTTGGCTTAATCTATGAGAAGGAAGTTGCCAGTGATAATTAATTTTATGGAAATTTTCATTATCAACTAGAATTGATTCAGCTGAAACAGTCTTCCAAATCCAGCACTATTGGATGAAATCCATTGTCCAACAGCGGAACAGACACCATTGATAGAATGGATTTCCCTTCTCCTCTAAACCTCCCTCCCCCCCCCGCCCCCAAAATCTCCATCTGAAGCAGATTAGGGGGAATACAGGAGGCTGTTGAGAGGAGGGTAAATCCCACTGCATTCAACTTTAGATGTTGCTCATTATTCCATAGAAAATAATAAGTGAAGAATCTCTCCTATCTAGTATTGAATATATTTCATTTCCCGGCAAATGTTAGACACTCCCCACAGTCACCAGCAACATCAAAGTGTATGGAAATTTTGTTTCTATACTTATTGTTCCTTATTGTTAATCCCTTTTCAACCACACTGCACATTCCTTGAGTTTAGAATTCTAAGTTTTCTCCTTACGTATTTATTATATTCCTATCTTATTTCAGGTTTTTGAGGAAGCTGACTACAGGCGGGCTCGGTTTTCTGGTCGACAGAAAGAGGTAAAATTCAAGTTAGGAAGTGTTTGCCTTGATTCTGTGCTTTTACACATTTACCAACACAATGTTCATTGACTTCAGCTGTGAAAGAACAATCAGCTTGGACTGTTTCAACTTCCACTAAATTAAAATAGATTTATAGAACTTAAGTCACATACCTCAGCTAAAATCTTTTATTGATTGTGGGAGTGGGTTGAAACTTACTTGGAAACTTCGGAGAACATCCTGATGTTGCTTGGGTGTTTGAAACTTGTAGTTTCTGCACTAAGGCCCGGTTAAACGCAGCATTGAACATGTTCTTTTAAAAAACCCACAAACTCTTTTACCTGTGTGACATTTGTCCCATAGGTGTCCCATTTTAAAGCAGGGTTCCTTGGCTATATGTGAAGTATTAGTGTGGCCAGAGATCCACAGTCCAGACAGGTGCTGTGTTATGTTGATGTGTGAAGCAGTTACATTAAATGCTACATGGATACATGTTTCTCGTATTTTAGGCATCCTGTTTAAATGGGGTCTACAGTGGTGCCCCGCAAGAGTTTTCCGTTTTTTGAGTCGTTCCGCAAGAAGAATTTCCCTATGGGCTTGCTTCGCAAGACGAAACGTCTTGTGAGTTCTTGCGAGTTTGTTTCCTTTTTCTTAAAGCCGTTAATAGCCGCTAAGCCGCTAATAGCCGCTAATAGCCGTGCTTCGCAAGACGAAGAAACCGCAAGACAAAGAGACTCGCGGAACGGATTAATTTCGTCTTGCGAGGCACCACTGTATTCTGTATACAAAAATAGGGTTATGTTTAATGTTGCACCTGCATAAGGGAAATTGCCCATGCCCTCCTCCCAACTGCTGCCCTCTGGCAAGCCTCTGGGTTGGAAAGGCCTGGGATTTGGGGCAGTGGACTGCAGTGGGAGTGGAGCATCAGGTGCAAATGGGCAAACATCGTTTCTGCTGCAATGGAATCTAAAAGCTGCGCAACATTTTTTAAGGTGACTTCCTTAAAAATGTAGTGAGCACTGAGTAGCATGCCAGCCTCCCCTTAGTCACTGCTTTTAGGGCTTTTGACTTTACCTGGCTGGTACAATAATAGCATACCCTTTTATTTGTTGCCACGGTGGAAAAGATTCTGTAGCAAATGAACTAGATGCAGCGGTAATACAGTGGTACCTTGGTTCCCAAACAAATCGGTTCCCGAACGCCGCAAACCTGAAAGTAAGTGATTCGGTTTGCAAACGCTTTTCGGAATCTGAACGTCTGATGCAGCTTCCATTTGAGTGCAGGAAGCTCCTGCAGCCAATCGGAAGCTGCGCCTTGGTTTTCGAACAGTTTCAGGAGTCGTACGGTCTCCGGAACAGATTAAATTCAAGAACCAAGGTTCCACTATACAGTGGTTGACGTGAGCAATGGACTTTCATCTTCAGCAGGCACTAGATCCATTCAGTCTTGGCACTGTTTATGTTTGTATTTCAGATCTGTTTTAAAGTACAGAATCTGGCTGTGTGCATTTATTCACTTGCATGTTTATATTCTGCTTTTTAAGGCAAGTCTTTGCAAAGCAGCTTACAGTAATGGAACAAGTAGCTTGTGGCTTAATCATTACTTCTAGGATGTGGTCAGGATCTTACCGCACTGCTGATAATGCAGCAGCCCTGATTGTGGCTAAAAAGTTACACAAAATGTTCATGAGGGCAGGGAGGAGAAGGTTCAAAAGGAACTCTCAGCTCGCCATAAGTACACCGATGAGGAAGAAGAGACAGCCAATTAGTTTTGCCCTGTTTCAGGCACAGGACTTTGCAGTACCTCTGGTAGCAAAAGCCGCAGCCTGTGTGCCCATGCCACTAAAGCAAATGTATAGTTGGAGCTGTCTGGCACTGAAAACCTTTCCTTCGCTATAATAGGTGAATGAAAGCTTTGCAATCGATTTGATCGCTCAGCAGCCTGTGAGTGAAGTTGAAACCAGAGTGATATCCTGCGATGGTGGCGGCGGAGCTCTGGGACACCCTAAAGTGTATATAAACTTGGTAATGTAATCTAACCTTTCCTTTGTGATCCCATCCACTGTTTTCCATCATCATCATCATTATTATTATTATGAGAGGAAGATATGTGTACAACTGAGACTGACCAGTGTATCTCATCAGCGGTGTGGCAGTCTAGAATGATCCTTGGTATATCTACTTCGCTTGTTTTCTATTGCGAACTGCAATGTTAAGAATTGCCTACTACAGGGCAGGCCACAATTAAGAGCTGATAGGTTGCATTCAGTTTTATGACTCGCCAGTTGTGCAGGCCTCGTTTAAGGGATAAGTGTTAATGATTCCCTCCGTTGCAATTTTTATGGGTATTTTCAAGGTATAGTCATGTGTGTATCCTAAAGATTTTCTTTTCCTGTCCTTCGTTCATTCTCCATGTTGCAGCAACCATTAATGTCAATCTCTCTTCTGATTGTTTCATTTTAATTATTGCTTATTAAAGCAGCTTGCCAGTAAGTTCAGATGTATTCTTGAGTAGATTGCTTCATTTTAATAGCTTATATCTTGTTAGCTGCCTAAGATAGAAGAAGGAAAGGCTTTGCTAATCTGAAGCCTTTGTCAGTTTTTATGGTTTAATTGCATTCTTCAAAATGGGTAGACGGAAGTGTAGGCAAACAGATAAAAATATTTTGAAATTGATAGTTGAGGGGGCTGAGATGGGCAATTGTTATAGCTGTGCCTCAGTCATATCAGCCCCTTTGTAGAGGAAAATCAAAATTATTTTAGCTCACATAGAAAACTGTATATTTCAGATGAAGGTGGATTCTTTCACTAGCTAAACTTTCAGGAGTATTTATTCATCATTGTAATGATTTGAATAATCTTACCCACCCATCCCCACTTGGCAGTCAGATACTTGTTGAATTTGTAAGCACTGAATTATGAAGAGAGGGACAGTAACTGTTAAGATTTGTAACTAAAATGATGTGTGAGTTGCTCATGAAATCTATTTTGTAAAATGCATCCATACATGCTTAGAAGCTTACTTTTGAATCAACATGAATAGGATTAAGCTGAATTCCAACCTTTAGAGTAGAACTGCATTGGGGGCGGGGCGGTATGTGAACAGAATTGTTTTAAATAGAAGTGTTTGCACTAGAGCTATTTTATGTGGAACTGTATTTACAGCACTAAGGTAAAATTATAATTTTATTCCACCCCATCCCTCAATTTTCCCATTTGCAGGACAAAGATACAAAAACGGGAACATGTGGCTACTGTGGACTCCAGTTTAAGCAGCAGCACCATCACTGAAAATTGTCTTTATTATACTATGTTATAGTATTAAATATATATTTAAAAGACTGTCGTGAGTGATATTCTTTTTTTTAAAAAAAATCCAGTGTTCTTCTTAGAATGGAATGCCCACAACTATACTGTAAAGTACTTTGTTCTTTCTCAGCTTTCTACATATAGCATATATACCTTATAATTTTTTGAACAAAGGATTCTATCAAAACCACCATAAAATCATAGCATGCTTGATGGTGTTGGGTTCGTGTATAATTATATAAATGCAAGATAATCCATTTTAATTTTACTGAATCCAAATTTTACCCAGGCGTCACGGAAAAGTAAAGTATGTGTATTTGCATGCACCGATACACAATTTATGTCTAGTGGGGTGAGGTGACCCCTGGGGAAAGGGAAGAGAAACAAACAAGATGATACCCATAACACTTAGAATTTGAAATGTTTCCACCGGGCCAAACAGGTAGGCCACTGCTATCATCTGAACAAGTTCATAAAGGCTGCAATCCTAACCCATTTACTTAATGGGTTGGACTTCTGAACAAACATGATTAGGATTGTGCTGTAAATTGCATATTCCAGATTCTTAAGCTTTTGTTCGTCTTGTGATGCCCCTAGGAATGTAAACTAGTTAAGGGCTGCTTTAAACTTCCAACCTACACACAGCCCTTTCCTGTCAACTTTGGCACCAATGAACTCTTACTCATCTGCCACAGAAATCCTGCAGCGCGTAGAGGATTCTATTCCACCTAAACATTAGGAAGAACTTCCTGACAGTAAGAGCTGTTCGACAGTGGAATTTGCTGCCAAGGAGTGTGGTGGAGTCTCCTTCTTTGGAGGTCTTTAAGCAGAGGCTTGACAACCATATGTCAGGAGTGCTCTGATGGTGTTTCCTGCTTGGCAGGGGGTTGGACTCGATGGCCCTTGTGGTCTCTTCCAACTCTATGATTCTATGATTCTATGGGGTACATTATAGGTTCACACACAGTTTTCTTAAGACACCCAGTCAGGCTTAGCATAGAAACAACAATCCCCTGTGGCTCTTTTTTCAGAAGATCTGTTTGTTCTTTTGGTGTATAGGAACACAGTTTGAAAACCATTGTACTAATGAGTATAGTATAAGAATATTTTTAAAAAGCAATGTTGGCATATTGGTAACTTTGTGTTTGCAGGGGGAGATATTGGCCATAACCTTCCTCTAGAAGAGTTGTTGCAAACAGTTATTGTCCATGCTCTGCTGCTCTCTGCTTTGAGGCATAGGGAATTTTAAATATTTTATAGAATTAGATTTTTTAGAGTACTTTACAGCATTTTTGATTAGCCCTTGCTGCTCTTCAATATAACAGAAATAAGAATTTTATCTTAATCTTACCACACCGATCCAAAAATCTTACTATTTCAGTTGCATGGTTACAGCATCTGCAATCTAGGAATGATACATGCAGTCACACAGCAACCAATGATCAGTTTAGCTTCTTGCTGTATATGTCGGTGGAGCTGGCTTTGTATATACAAGGGAAGTACCATAGTTCGTGGGAAGGGAATTCCCCCAGCAACACAACACTTGGGAGTAAATTCCTCCATCTTAGTAAGATTAGTAAATCGCAATAAGGACCTCAGTTCAGATTTTGCATTGCAGTGTATTCTGATTAGTGCTTACCTTGTTACAAACATATTGGCAATATACATACCAAGTTTCACTGTTAACAACTTAGTGCTCAGGGGAGATAATATACTAGGGTGTGCCTTACATATTTCCTCTGCCTCTTGGGATCATGTGTAGTGAACATGGAACTGTAGATTTGCATCCTGTACATGCATGCGACATTACATTTAGATGCTTCAGTGCTCAAAGGTGGTATATTATGTTACAAAAAAATACATAGTGAGAAAGAATGCGGAATAGGCAAGTTCAGCTAAAAGCCTGGACTCAGGTAGCCTTTGACTATAAGCAATAAAATGTGTATAAACTGAGGGCTCTTCACTTAGCCAACATAAGGGTAAGTGATGCTAGTTGTGATAGAGTTGTGAATATGGGGAACCAGTTGTCTCTAGTGACCACCTAGAATCATGGAATTGTAGAACTGGAAGGGACCTTGAGGATTATCTGGTCCAGCCCCCTGCAGTGCAGGAATCTCAAAGCATCCATGACAGATAGCCATCCAATGTCTGCTTTAAAAACAGTCTACAAAGCTTGGAGCAGATTTTACGGCGATGCCTTACCTTGTGCATCTTTTGTCATTCGATTATAATGTATGAGGCTGCCTTTTAAATAAATTTTTGGAAACTTTGGTTTGTCCAAAATGGGGTTGGCAGGGTGTTAACAGTTGGAACATATCATTTTTGATATTGCATCATCTATAGTCATTAGCAGTTTGGAATCAATTCCAAGTGCTGGCTATGATTTTGAAAGCCTCGGATAGCGAAGGACCAGTTTTTTAAAACTGCGCATTTTAAAAACAAACATCATCTCTCATCCACTAGATTCTGATGCGAAATACAGCTATGTCAAGCTATTTAACTGGCTTTTGCTCTTACCGGAAAAACCCTCCATTTTCAGTATGCTTTCCGAGTGCTCCCTTGAAATGCTCTGTTTCCCCCTCTTACGTTCTGTACAAAGCCCCCAAGGGCAGGTGTTTTGCAGCTTTGGAGAACTGTGCCATCCCTGAAGTAGCCCACCACCCGGTTTTCCAGCACTTTAGGCAAACTGGCTTTGGGGGCATTTGCACAGTTCTTGGGGGAAATGCTCAAAACACCTCTCAGGATGTTTCCTTATCTGTTCGATGAGAAGGTCCTGATAGGTTTCGTTCTCACTATGCAGACTTTTAACACAAACAGTGGCTCAGGACTGAATGAAAGCGGTTCTGCTCATAGCAAGGTTGATGCTAATAATTCTGCAGCAAGCTGTTTATGCATTTTTTAGCCAGGAGTGGCACCTGCATCATTAAGCTTGTTGGTTTTCCACAAGTAGGACATTTCCAACTCGAGACAGGTAACTATTAAGGGCATCTTTTAATTAGCAAATGACAGTTTTCAGGCTGTTCTATGGCAGATGAATTACAGATGAGATGCTTGCCACCATTAAGGTTAACTATGGCTAAGTCTCATTCAATGCAGTGGTAGAAGCGAGTTACAATGATTATTTAGGCAGAGCCATCTATATACATGGCCTTTGCAAAGAACTAACTTAAGGTTACCAGATTTTTTTCAATGAGTCGGGACACTTTTCAATTTCAATGGATTTTGTATGGGGACTGATTTGTAAATCTGGGGACTGTCCCCAGGAAATGGGGATGTCTGGTAACCTTAGACTAACTCCAGTTCCATTGTGTTCAATGCAACTTTGTCACAGCGACTACAGTTTTGTGCCACAGCTGCTTAAGTGAGTAGGGACTTTGTTTGCCAACACAGACACGATTCTTTCACTGTGCCTTATTTTCACTCGCTTCAAAGCTGGCTTAGGAAAGGAAAAGATGAACAGTGTACTGTCTATATATTAAATCAATCATCTTCTTGTCAGCAATGGAGTGCGCCTCCAAAGGTGAAGTCAAACAGCACTTAAGTGATCCTGGGATGCAAGCTTAGGCAATGTCACTAGCTTGATGGCAGGAGTTGCTGGAAGGTGGCGCCCATCCAAGGTGGTGTTGCAACCATCTTAGGGACTCCATTCCAGATTTGTGTAGGGTTTACTCCTTAGCCTTTCCTTCTCCCAAAGTTATCCCACAAGGCAGCGGAGTTTTAGGATCACAGTTTTCCTTCTCCTAGATGGGCTTCCTCTCCAGGTGGATAAGCCCCATCTGCCCCTCACTTCCCTCCACAGCACGTTCAGAAACTCTCTTCTTGAATGTTGGATCCTCTGTTAGTCTTGTCCTCTCAATCTGCCAGAACCTGTCTCTGCGAACAGAGGAAGTCCCTAACTCACTAAGGGTTTGAGACCCATTGGCTACCTTCACCTGGTTTAGTCAGCCAGTCGAAGCCGTGGTGTGGTTGCTGTTGCGTTCTGATAGCTTCTAGGAGCCACAGCTGAGAGCTGAGTGCAGGATCAAGCCCAAAGGTGGAGAAACTGTTAGATTTCTGTTATGCCACTGTGTAGTTTTTGGAGTCACAAGACTCTGTTGACATTCCAGACTGTTGGAAGTCTCACGGGAGACGGATGTAGATGTTACTGGTTTCCTGTTTCTTTGTTCCTGTTATTTCTCTGTCTCTCACAGAGAGCAGACGCATATTCTTTTCTGTCCTGCGTAGTTAGAAATAAACGTATCAATGTAGCACATATTTCTGGCTCTTCTGCTGCTGTTTGGGTACTCTGCGTAATGGGAACGTGCCTGAAGCCTCATTAAAGGCTTAGGTCGTTAATCACCGTCGGAGCAGAGGTCGATGGATTCCGAAGATACGAAGAGGAGGAGAGCCATTACAGCTCAGTCGTATGGAAGCTCTGACAGAAACGACCTCAGAAGGAGCATCTCGTGTCCCCCACCAGATGTACTATCCCCTAGCAGCCCCTGCACCCCAAAAATCAATTAGCTTCACAAAAATCTCAGTATTAGGTTTTCATAGTAGTAAAGCCTTTAGAGGAAATCTCTGGTCAGTGGAGGATTTGTGTGTGTGTGTGTGTGTGTGTGTGTGTGTGTGTTTAATTCCCTGAAGCAAATCACTAGGGAAACGTATCTCATAATGGGTCCCAAAGGGATCTCCTTTCCTGATTTTTCTCCCTCTCTACAGGAATTATTGCTCAACTCTGACAAGTGGGAAATGGCTAGTTCTGCCACTGCTGCTGCTTATCTCTCTCCTAGAGGGCACCCTAGTTCTAAAAACAACCAAATAGTCACCTGCCACAATTGCAGCACAGCTTTAGTTGCACAGTCACAACTCTACTTGTGAAGGTGGTTGGAGGATGGATGGCGGCTAATGGATTGAGGTTGAATCCTGTCAAGACAGAAGTATGGTTCTTGGGGGACACGGAGTAGGCTGGTGTGGAGGACTCTCTGGTCCTGAATGGGGTAACTGTGCCCCTGAAGGATGTGGTGCGCAGCCTGGGAGTCATTTTGGACTCACAGCTGTCCATGGAAGCGCAGGTCAATTCTGTATCCAGGGCAGCTGTCTACCAGCTCCATCT